CTGAGTTATGGCAAAGAGTTATTTCATGCCATCTGTCTAGATTTTACAAAGGAAATTAGAGTTGAAATCCAATGACCACATGACTTGTGACGCACAACTCGTTTGAGTTTCAGTTTGAATAAAAGTGACGCAGTTCCATCAGATGAGAGAGGAGATCTTTGTTTAGCTTTCAAACTGGATGTGCTGCCATGTTCTTAAAATGATTTATTGATTCTAAAACCCAAACAGGCGCTGCTCTGTGGCTGTGCTTCTCTGTGCATAGACGCAGGTTATCTGTGTTCAGCTGCATTCATAAATAAACCGGGACCGCATGCAGCTCCATCCCAGAGCCAACACAGAAATAGATTTGGTTTAAAAAGAGGTGTAAGACAACAGTGATCCACGTTGGGCTCGTGGGGTTGAAGTAGAGTTTAAAGGAAATGAATGGCACACTTTCTTTACACCGGGCAAGTTTAAAGCATTTTGTGGTGTGCATTAAAATAAATGAAAGTAATGGAAATAAAAGCAATCCTGCAAACTTATGCAGGGTATCGTGATTCCACAGAGCAACACAACATCATCTCCTCTTTTTTAGCGCTGTGCAGACGCTAGTAAGTTGATAACTGTGTACCCTCAGGCTAAATCTAATCTGGCATCAGCATAGTCTGAGAGGAAAAGGGAGGAAACTGAATGTTTTTATTTAAAAAATCCAGTTCACATAGGGTTTGAGCCTATGAGTATGATGATACTTTTAGAGGTGTTGCTTGTAAACTAACCCTAAAGTGAATTTATGTCCTTATGATTGTGATTGAAATCTGTTTGGGCCCAGATGTGTTGTATTCTGTCTCTGGTTCAGCTTTAGCTTCATTTCAAAGATATATGTATATGTGTTTGTAGTTTTAAATCCTCCCAAAATCACAACAAGATGTTCAACACGATCAGAAGTCCTGCTGAAACTCACCAGAGGTCCATGAATGACAAGAAAAATATCTTTATCTATGGTAGGCTGGTCCTGATCCGATATCTGGATCGGATCGGTTGTCGATATTTGCAAAAAACTGCGTATCGGCCAGCAGAAGAAAATGCTGATCCAGACTCCAGATCCAGTTTTTCCTTTTTTTTAAGTCCGATCCAACACGAGCATTAGCATTAGCATTAGCATCTCCTAACCCACAGGTCTGTGTTCTAACCATTAAGTTGTTATCAGAGTAAATCCCTGTTCAACATGAGTATGACAGCTAAGTAAGTAGATAAATAACTAGCAGAATAGCAGGCTAAATAACTAGCGGGCTAGTAGGCTAACTAACTAGTAACTAGTAAGGCCCATGTGGACAATAAGCCTCGAAACAACAAGTGGGACTGATGTTAGGCTACATCATAAGGGGACGGGTTCTTTGAATAAAAACAATCTATTTGCAAAGGTGGGGTCAGTTTTTCCTCTAGCTAATAAACTAATAAACTTTAAAACATGCTCTGATAGGCTAGGATCGGTATCGGATCGGAAGTGAAAAAATCTGGATGGGGACATCCCTAGGTTGCACATTGGTCTCCCAGACAACTTGTGTTTGTTGTAAGCTTCTCATCTGATTTATATTCCGTCGTGTTTTTCCTTCGGGCGAAGTCATGTGAAGTCATCTCTTACTGTAAATTGGAGTAGAAAAAGCCACAAATCGCTGTTTTAAAAACTCCCAGGCGCACAGGAAGTGTCTGGCGCTCCACGGGAGGCCGAACGCGTCCTCACGCCTGAAAGAGGCAGCAGGATGAGCTCCGGGAAGGAATGAGCTGCTCTTACCTGACGTTCGCTTTCATTTTCCTCTCCTCGCTGTCTGCCGCCTGAACACCTGCCTCCAGAAGTCTCAGAGCTCGGGGAATATTGATTAAGACTGCTGACATTTTCTGCCTCGCTGTGTGCTGCCCGTAACGGTGTTTTCTCACTCTGACCAGCAGCCATTTCCTCCAGATCTGTCAGCCCAATCAAAGCAGAACCAAATCACCCGAATTATCAAGGTGTTTTCCTGTTTTTCCCAGACTTTTCACCTTCTACGTTATAAATTCCTCAGATGCTCAGAGATTTTTGACTGGGACTTTCAGTGCATTTCAGGGAATTCATCACATAGAAAATAGCAATAGGGAAAAAAGAAAGAACTAAGGATGTCCTAATACAGCTCTTTGCTCCTCCAATCCGATACTGATCCCGGCCTATCAGAGCATATATTAAAGTTTAAAGTTATTTATCTACTTACTTAGTTGTCAGACTCATGTTGAACAGGGATTTACTCTGATAACAACTTAATGGTTAGGACACAGACCTGTGGGTTAGAGATGCTAATGCTAATGCTAGTGTGGGATCGGACTTAAGAAAAAAAACTGGATCTGAAGGTGCGCAGGACCCATTGAGGGGTGACATTGCAGAATAAAGTTGTAACCAGCAATGGACGATAAGAACCTGTTGTTTGGCATGTTGGGTGGAAAGTTTTCTCTTCAAAACACTTGAGATGGAAGCTTTCTGAACTTCTTTGTGTCGCAGATGAAACGGTTTGTGCCTTCGAAAAACTGCGTCAAAATAGTCAGATTTTTGTTTTTACTTTGAGCAGATCAACTTGTAACTGAAGGAGCACAGAGTGTCTCACATATTTTAATTCAACTATTTGTTTGTATCATGGATCCTGACAGGAAACACCCTTTTTTTTGTCTCTTCCTGCTTTTGGCACCATTTATAGAAATCAAGAAATCAGATATTTCAGCCTCTGATATTCTAAAGGACCAAAACACTCATTTGAGTACATCATTTATAGAACCAAGAAAAGTTCAGTTAAACCAAATCTGGAAAAATGTGGAAAAACCCAAATATCCTCATTCCATACATTATTCTATAAGTAGAATTCTTTTTTTTAAGAATGATCTTTATTGAATGATTTATTTATCATACGTATTTTTAGAATTATCACAGGATCAGTTCTTCAGAAAATAATTTTCAATAAGTAATCTCAGTATACTTTCCGTGGTAAAGCGAGATGCCCTGGCTTTTTAAAATCAAAATGATCCCTTTGTCTTGGGAGTTGGACATCTGTATCTTCATATGATTAAGCTTTATTCTTTTCCCACTGTTTTCCTCTCAGTCAAGCTGCTGTAAACCTTCCACCATCAGAGAGGAGCCCAGCTGGTTTCATTTCTGCAGCCTCTAATTTGAGTGCTTTGTCGATAACCATGTTTCATTAAGAGATCAATATGTTCTCGTTTTTATCTGGTGATTTAGCACCTTTTCTAAATTTAATAACTAGTTTCAAACGGGGCCTAGAAATGAAATGGAAAGATTAATTACAGCGTAAACTATCAGTGGGTATTTAAACTGATTGATTGGCTTTACGTTAATGACCCCACTGTTGAAAAGCCCATAAATTAATCGGCCGCAGTCACAAATACGCGTTTGTGTTCTGACCTTAATTTATAGAGCTCCAGTGTTGAGGTGCACTGAGCCGTGATTTAAGGGTGCAATTAGCCACAAAGGACAAAAATAAGCGTGGTTAATTATGTTTCTTTTTGAATGTTGGGTATTGGAAAGCTGCTTTGGAGCAATCAGTCATAATTTATTTCGACTGTTTGAAGGATTTCTTTGGAGAGCGTGGAGCTTTTCTAAATGGCGGCGCTGGGAGGAATATCGAGAAAATGAAGTCGTCCTCATCAGTCAACCGATCAACAGCAAAGGCGGTCTGTAACCAGCAACCTTGACGGGGTTTTTCCTTTCACCGGCCTCATTCTCCACCTCCGTTTCATCCTGAATGGCAATAATTAGTCATTCAGAATTGACCAGCAGAAAATGTGGTGAAGCACAGATTCACAGATGAATAGTGAGGCCGATTCAGATTAAATTTAAAGGATGATTTCTCCTCACTTTGGATTTGTACAAATTCAGGAGAATATGTTAGTTTATATTCAGTCGTGCAAATAACTGATAAAAGCCCACAAAATCCAAAAGTAGACTTTTTTTTCAGATTAATGGTTTTCAGCTCTTTTTCCTCTTGTATCTATGGATTGGAAATGCTGCCCTCCCCTGAATCATTCTCCAGCTGCACAGTAATTGTATAAAACTTTACTGGCACTCAAAAAAACAATCAGTCACACTTTTACCTCCATGAAAAACAAAAACAAACAAACGCCGCCTTTAGCTTTCGTGCGTCTGGAGCTGTTTGTGACAGCCTGTTTTTGGGCTTTCATTTATCACCAGGAGCTGAAATCCGTCTCCAGACAGGTAGGCAGGGAGAAGACTTTCCCCTAATATTTTTCTTTTGAATCGAAATCATTCTGAAGGTCAGCTGACTCATCGCCGCGGCGGAGCTCTTATGCCTCCTCAGGGCTGGAAAAGCAGAGCCCCAGCACTCCTGATTCCTTTAAGTGTGCATCAAAATCTGTAAGAGGAGACTCAAAAGATGTTTGCCCCAAAAGATGTCGCTAGGACAAGTAAACGGATGCTCAAATCTGCCGCCATGGAAACCGTCTCCTCCTTTTCCAGCTCTGAGTGACTCCGCTCTGTGGGCCTTTTTATTGGACACGGATGTCCATGTCCATGAAACAACCCTGCACCTCCCGGCCAATCAAAGCATGTGTTAAAGTTTAAAGTTATTTATTCTACTTACTTAGTTGTCGGACTCATGTTGAACAGGGATTTACTCTGATAACAACTTAATGGTTAGGACACAGACCTGTGGGTTAGCAGATGCTAATGCTAATGCTAGTGTGGGATCGGACTTTAAAAAAAACAACTGGATAAGATAAGATAAGAGAGCTTTATTGATCTCACAGTGGAGAAATTCACTGGTCACACATCGGTTTAGTGACTAAAGAGAGTTCAAAAGGAGAAAAGGGTGCATTATCTGGATCTAAATTTTTCTCCTGCCGGCCAATAAGCACTTTTTTGCGAATATGGGGGGCCGATCAGATCCAGATATGGGATCGGGACAAGCTTAGTGCAGATTGCAATGGGAGTGGGATCGATAAAGCATGTTTTCTTCTGCTCTGTTCAGGTGCTGAGGAGCCTGCTGGTGGGAGACCCCGGAGGACTCGGCTGTGGACCGGATGGTGGAGGGGGACGGGATGTTTGGTACTTTGTTGAAGGAGTAGAAGAGGTGAGCTTACTCCCGACGGCCATTATAGGAGCTGCAGTTACAGCACATCTGTAACATCTGTTTTTAGAGTTCCATCCACATCCCTGTGGACGCCATACACGTTCCCAGGAAAGACTTAAAGACATTTGTACAGTTTTAGCTAGGGATGTCCCGATCCAGCTTTTTTCACTTCCGATTCCGATCCCGATCCCGGCCTATCAGAGCATGTATTAAAGTTTAAAGTTATTTATCTACTTACTTAGTTGTCAGACTCACGATGAACAGGGATTTACTCTGATAACAACTTAATGGTTAGGACACAGACCTGTGGGTTACAGATGCTATAGCTAATGCTCGAGTGGGATCGGACTTTAAAAAAAACCCGGATCTGGAGTCTGGATCTGCTTTTTCTCCTGTTTTTTTTGCAAAAAGCGGATCGGAACAAGCCTAGTTTTGACGTTTTCCATCTTAGATGATCCAAAATTTAAGTGCAACATTGACTATGTTGAGTCTAGTCTAGAGGAGATTTGTATCCTACAACTCTCGTCTGACTGTTTTTATTTCAGTTTTGTTCTGACTCGCCTCATTTTTTTTTCTCCATTGTGTATTTTAAGCACATTTAATGTCCAAATACAGCTTCAGCTACTGTTCACTTTCTCTTCAATAAATCAGAACGGGTAAACAGAGAGGAGGTTATTTTCTAAATGACTTTCATCCACACTCTGACTGTGACCTTGTTTGTAACGAGGTCTAGTGTTTGTTTCAATACGATGGCGCACTCCATGTCTCCCGGAGCCTCTCCTGCATGCAGATTTCTTCTTCACTTCATTCCACGGACAAATTAAACGGAGCATCTTGGACTCGTGTGTCCCCCGGTGAAGAAGAGCCCGGTTTTGTTTCTGATTACATTTATAATCATGTCTGTCATGAGGGGCTTCAGACGTACAGTTTTCCACCTAAAATCCTTGAATCGTTCTGATGGTAAGAAAGGCAGAACTCTGTTAACCAACGGTGGGTCCATTAAAGCCATAATTTAATCGGAATTGTCACCCAATATTTCACCGATGATGCTCGAGGTATTTATGCCACATGGCCCTGGTGTTACACCGTGGAGCTAACGGTCATGTACGTTTTCTCTATTTAGTTTTCTCTATTTCAGTTTTTCTCATTGTTTGCTCGGATGGTAATAGAGGGGAAATGAAGGGGAGGCTCTCAGGGAAGGAAGGCAGAATATCTAATGGGTCTGACATTAGCTCAAACTCCAGGCATTTCCTGCCATAGAGGATCTCCTTCACGTCCTGAATTTTTTTTAATGCTTTGCACCTGTTTAAAGCTTTAGCATAAGCTTATTTCTGTCTACCTGTTTGGAAAAAGATAGAAATTAATTTTCTAATGCAGCCACGTTATTTATATATTTATTTTGGACACCACATGAAATAAATTAAAACATAGCAAACATAATTTTTTTTATCTTCATTACATTCATACAGTACAATGTACATTTTTGAGTAAATATTATCATCTCATGAATAATAATTACAAACCTTTCAAATCAAAGGCCTTGGAGAAGCGTTCAATGCTTTCCCAAGGTCAGGGATAAGTCCCTGCTTCAGGTGGAGGAGTTTTAAGTATCTCTGAATCTTGTTCTTAGCGACGGCAGGTTGGAGAAGGGCAGGCAGACGGGGGCTGACTGCAGAGAAGCTTTCCATTTACTGCCCTGTCTTTGTTCCAGCGCTTTAAGAATGGTCACAAGTTCTGGGCGGTGAGAGAAAGAATGAGGTCGCTGAGACGGGTTTCCTTCAGAAGGAAAGATGGACTCCAGGCCTGTTCATACTCTGTGTGAACAGATGGATTTGTGGTGTGCTCTGTGTGGTAACAAAAGGAACAAAGTTGGTTTCTCCCTGGACATCACACACATCACAAGAAACTCCTGCAAAGCCCCTATCACACAAGTTTTTTTGGACTCCACGTGAAAGAAAAATATCCATGATGTGTCAAACAAGATACCCGAACCCCTAAATCTGAACGTTAAACAAAATAAACTGTTTTCAATTCAAACAAATGGTTAAGACCGAAATAGGAAACTGATGTATAGAAGTCCCCAAATATTCAGTGTTTAGTGGTACAACCTGACCAGTGAGTAGGGCTGACCTGCTGATGTTGCGCCCCTTCTCTCTTATTTATTTATTTTCGTTGCTTATTATCTTATTATCGTTAGCCTTGAATTGCTAGCTGCGGCTAATGGCTAATAACAACACGCTAACATTAATCAAGTCCGTCTGGCTGCAGACTGCAGGAACAAGGATGGATATCCAACTCCCCCACATCCAAGTCGGCCATTTTGATTAGGTCACCAATAGGAAGATCCCAGGCAAGAAAATCCTAACTGCTTCATGGCAACATAGACATTAATTTAAGAATAGTGAAATGAATCTAGCAAACACTGAATAAAATTATGTTAAAATAGTGAATGTTAAATAGGTTTGTACAATAAGTCCAAACTAGTTTAACCAGAAAATACTTATTTCTCACAATTATGAAGGGTCTGATAACATCAGTAATAGGTAACTTTGAAACCAAAGACACTAACCTGTCAAAATTCATACATTTTGGGGTCTTTGGTTTTATCCTTGTGGTATCGAAAATGGTATCGAGTTGAAAATGTTAGTATCGTGAAAACCCTACCAGTGAGCAGCAAATCTTAAAAGCCTGGACTGTGTCCACCCTTCCTCTGACCGCAGTCACTCTGATACTATTAAACGTATTTTATTTTCTTTGTAGTGAGGGAAGACGAGCACCTGGCTTGACCCGCATCTCAAAGTTTGCCTTCATTTTTCCCCTCGCTTGCCCCCCTCCATGTTTACGGCTTAATCCCTCAGCAAACCTCAGCTATAAGCTTTTTGGTAATGACCTGCCTAATCCTCCACAGAAAAACTCTCGGGCGCATTAACTTCAAAGCAGTTTAGCGACTCGCCGGCGGTGGGTGTGAGTATTGTTGTCTGCCGCGTGGCGTTGTGGGCCGGTGTGTCGTGCTGATGAAGGGCTGTAAGCTGACCATCTGTCCGTTTTTTTAACCATGCAGTAAGGTGGTCGTACATTATTTACAGGTTCAAACACAGAAGCGGTTGTTTTTGCCAGACACTTTCTGTGCCTTTGCATTGCCTTAACGTTGGTCCCGGTCATACCTTAACTACAGAGGGGGAAATAAGTATTTGACCCCTTGCTGATTTTGCAGGTTTGCCCACTTACAAAGAATGCTTATTTTTCCTCATCAGAGGGTTATCAATTTGAATAAATTCATATGATGTGATTTTCTGGAATTTTCTTTGGGATTCTGTCTTTCACTGTTAGAATGTACATATGATTAAAGTTATAGATCGTTGCATTCTTTGTAAGTGGGCAAACCTGCAAAATCAGCAAGGGGTCAAATACTTATTTCCCCCACTGTATAAAGAAGACAAACTCATGAGGTTGATTCTTGTTGGTAACAGGCAGATTTCAGGCTGATGAATCATCTATTTTCATGATATACAATCAAACTTGTAATAGGTTAATGCTGGAAGAGATTAAGAAAAGAGAGAAGTAGTAGTTAGTCTTCTTTTATACTAAATGGTTGACTATAAAGAAGACAAACTCATGAGGGTGATGTGTGTTGGTAACAGGCAAATTTCAGGTTAATGAATCGATTGTGTTCATGATATACAATAAAATTAGTAATAGCTTAAGACTGTACATGCTGGAAGAGATTAAGAAAAGAGAGAGAAGTAGTTGTTAGTCTTTTTTTTATACTAAATTGTTGTGGGGATAAAGTTCCCAGTATTTCTTATCCTCCCTGAAGCCTTCACAGTGTCATAATCGGGCTCAGAACCACAACAGACATCCCCTGAACTCATCCACACGTCTCCACAGGAGAGCAACATGCCTCTGAGCTCCATCACCAGCCGATCATTTCCAGCCAGTCTCCCCTCACCGGCGAAAGGGAAATGCCAGGAGTTTACCTCCGGCTGCTCCACCTGAACTTTCAGCACGCCGGGTTTCCGCTCCCACCCCTCCTCGAAGCTTCCTCACGGGCACTTGACATTTTATTGACGCGATGCAGCCATCACGGCAATAAAATGTCAAGAGAAGAAGAATTCCCGTCAGCCTCCCCTCCACCCTCCCTCCTTCCCGTTTTCGCGTGTTGGGAATGTTGAGCGTTCCGATCCGGGAGACCAGGACGGAAAAAAGCCGCCAGTTGGGCTCAAACTCGCTGTCAGAAAGAATCGATGTAGTCAAACTCTCTGAAAACACAGAGTCTACTCTCCCAAATGTCTGTTAGCTGCATCACTTTACAATTTAGGGGATAGAAATCGACACGCCCAAATTAATTGAGACCCCCCTCCAAAAAAAAAAAAGCCTCCCTTCCTCATCCGTTGGAGTCAGCACAACCACAGACACATTTTCACAATCAAAAGAAAAAGAAAAAGATAACCCTTGATTTTCATAGAGTGAATTATTCAGGCACAACTTCTTTCTGGGAGGATTCCACCCACTTGGAAATATTTTGAAAGCTAATGAGAAAAGTTTGGCGAGCTCGGGGCGCCTCTCCGAGGGGTTCAGGACTTATATTTCCATCAACTAGAGGAGAGGGAATCTGAATTAAAAACCACCGTAACGGCCTAAAAACAGAGGATTCTACCTCGGCACATATTCGGAAGGGATCTCACTCTCTCATACGAGGGGGAAATAATCAGTAATTATCAATCAGTGATAATTTGAACTGCCATCAGTGCTTGAAAAGGTAGATTTAAACTACAAACCGTTGGGGTTAGCGTTAAACTTTGATTTTAAAAACGTGTCTTCGTCTGTGCCAACTCCTGCAGATGAGGGTTAGGGTTAGGGTTGGGGTTAGGGTTAGGGTTAGGGTTGTTTCACCTGTGACTGTGTTTTTCAATTTCCTGTCCCGAGAATGTAAGCTGAAAATCTGCTTTTATTTTCCGCTGTCTTTGGCCATGATCTCGCACATGGTGCTGTGCTTGTCTTTCCCCTCCTGACCTGCATCTGCCTCTGTTTTTTATTTTTAGTTCCTATTTTTCATCTCATTGTCGTTCATCTTCTAGATAAAGGCGTAATAACCAGAGAGATTAAATCAAGTTACCCTGAGCTCATCTGGTAAAAACCAGATTACATAAAGACTTGTAATATTCCGACAAGCTATTTCTGATCTTCAGCCTTTATAGTTAAAGTCTGAACTCTTTAGGAGATTTATTATAATTATGAAATTGAATAAATTGGACCTTTGTCTGCGGTGGAGCATTTTTGCCCACTCAGCTTTCTATTTCGACCTCCTTACAAACATTTCTTCATCTATTAATAAGTCGTAAAAAACTTCGTCAAGAATACTGAAACATAAATCACTCCGAGCCCTTTGAAGGAACGTACAGGACTCGTGTTTCTCTGGTAAAAGCAGCCTCCTGATGGATTGGAGGGAATCTGGGTCAGATTACACCAGGGACAATGCAGCACTGTCTGCGTAATGAGCTAAATGCAGTCTGTTTGCTCTGTAATTAACTGGTTCATCACAGTAGATGTGATTTACAAATGTCTTCATTTGTTGAGAACAGAGTCTAGAGGCCATTAGTAATGGTGTCAGACTTGTTGTTTTTTTTTTTCTAGGTCTGCTTAGTCGACACCATGTACGACAAATCATTTCCCTCTTCGTTGGAAGCTATTTGATGGTTTTTAGAGTCGGGGAAGGAAAACAGACTCTGCTACTTTAACGGAGATCAAGTGGAAACATTCCTGTGTCAAAACCACACAGCAGGTTGCCGTCTTTTTCAATATGTTATAAAAATCCACAGTGTACAGATTTGTGTGGCATCCGGTGCCAAGAGACAGAGGTTAGGAATGAAAAACATTTCTTCAACTTTCCTCTCATTGTGAGCTCATGGCTAACAAACAACCACATTCTCTGTTTTGCAACCTTTTTTTTCTAGGCCAGGCTGAGGAATTTATTGAAAATAAAGTATTTATTAGATAGAAGTAGGTTTTATCTGTGTCACTAATTGGAAAGATTTTTCCCCAAAGTCACATGTTTACCCAAACTGGCTAAAAACAACTAAGGTTAGAAGAAAAGCTTCTTTATTCTCATTCAGACATTCACCAGTTTGAGAAAACTACGGAGATAGGAGTTTTTAGAAAATAAAAGAAGTTTATTTTCAGTCTGTTCCAAACCTGAACAGGTCCAGCTTTTACCAGAATGGCATACATGGTTCTGGACCCTCTATCCACCAGTGATCCACAATCCACTCAAAGAGAAATCAATCTTTATGTATGTTTTGCTCAATCATTATGCTTAAGCTGTCCGATCTCATTTTGTGCTCGTACATCTGCCTTCTTCACCCCTCTGAGCACGCAACACACTTCCCATAGGCTGCACATCTGGAGTCCAGTGGTCCCGCATCTCATGCCAGACCACTGAGTCTTGTAGCCTAAACCCAAAACCTCAGATTGTCCAGTGTTTGCATCTGTCTGGTTATTTCAGAGTCAGGTCCCCCTTGCACATTAGGCCTTTGAACTGCTCACTAATTATGCAAATCATGAAAACAAGTTGCTCATTACATCCTCCCCTCATTAAAGAATAACATTACCATCAAGGTTTCCGATACGTGAACAATCTCCCTCATGTTTACCTCCCCACAACATGAACTCCTCCTGCTCTCAGCTTCCTGCTCAAGCGTTAAGATGTAAATTAAATTGGTTAAATGGAACATCCCTGTGAATGAAAAAGCATCCAAGTCAGCGTGAGGCTTTAAAATGCTCGCGGTGATCCCATGCCTAAGCCCGTGTATATCCACCTTGAGCCTGAGCTCAACACCAGCAACACGGTGCTATAAAAAGAGCCAATTATTTATAGTCGGTTCCTCGACTGGGCCGGTCCTACTTATCTTTCAGTGTGCAGTCCCCAGGCCTCCTCCAGCACATTTTCAGCTTTGTCGGAGCTCCCATCAGCCCAGTCTTTCATCACTGCATCCTGCTGGATGGTCTCTAAATATCAATTATAGCTTTTATGTTTGGCAGTGAATTATTAGACGGAAATGCGTCAAAGCTTCTTCTCCTCCTCTTGATCGAAACACCTTCCTATAGAGAGATCATTTAAGCTAAAAAAAGGCATCCATCTCTGGTATTGGCGTTGTTCAAAGGGCCCCCGTCACCATAATTTTCCTTCGCATGGTCCTAACAGATTGCTTTTGAGCAATTAATGCACATTAATTGAGCTGACCTTCAGGGTACCTCGTTTAAGCCGATATTCTGAAATGGACTTGGAGAATAATGATTGTTTCTCCTCCCTTCTGTCATCACTGTAACAGTAAATTCTGTGGGCAGTAAGCAGTAATTAGTGCAGAGGAGGAGACCTAAGGATGTCTATTGATTTCTTGTTTGCGTGGTGAAAATGTCAAAGGAACCCAGCGGGCTTTCAAACGCCAAGCGTGGCCCACAATAGGACCAGGAGAGGGACGGATTCATGTGTGGAAACGTTCTCTAAAAGGATCAAAGATTTAAATGATTACGAGAAGAAATCTGTTTGCTGGGAATGTCCATTTGATACAGACGGTGAGCAACCGCACGGCCGTAACCTTTATCTCGGCTCGTTTGGAAAAGAGACTTAAGATTGGATTAAAAAATGTCAGCCTACAACATGAGTGATGGTGTGAACCTTTTGAAAGGGTAATTGGGTTGAAGCTGTGCAGGACCTGAAGTTGCGATATTTACCGAAAGAGTTGAAGACGCAACGACCTAAAATTGAACAGTCTTCCGATGACTCATCGGGTTGTCTGGGCACATTGACGAGGTCCCTACTTCTCCATCTTCATAATTAATTCTTTGAGGGGATAGTTAGGTCGTATAGTCAATATGCGTTGAGCTCTTTCACGACATGTTTTTAAAGTACACTTTTACCTCGAAGCAGCCAACATGTAATGTGACAGAACAAAAACGTAAAATGGCGATTACTAAAAAAAATAAAACGGTGAACCAGAGCTTCCCAAAGCTCTCAAATCAACATTTGATGTCACTTGTTGAAGGTTGGTTGGACAAATGATGGTTGTATAGGATTATATGTGCAATTATTTCTAGTCTGAAACTTTCTGAAATATCAGCTGGTTGCCTAGCAACTGCATCCACTTGATAGGCTGGTATTCTAAAACTTCGTAAAGATGAGCTGAATATAGATGATCATTTGAACGATTTCCGAGTTCTTCTCTGAGAACGCTGCTTCCCTAAATGTTTTCATTTTTATGGAGTCGGACCTAAGCTGTAAGGAAGCACAAACCTTTTAACTTTTTTCATGCTTGATCAAAGATTGTGAACGGCAGAAGTCATGTAGACCCAACCGAAAATAGGGCGCTGAATGGGGGAAGTGTGTGGTCGTGGCTGAGACAGGCCCTAGCCCAAAACATGACTGCTTAGCGGATTGTTTCTTTTTTTTTTTGCATCCGTTGATAGTTTGTTTTTTATTAAACTCAAACTTAAGCGCAATTTTAAGTCATCAACCTCATTCAGAGCCACAGGACAGCCTCTCTTCTGCCAGAACTTCTCCTCTACTTTAGGAAAGTTCTTCCAGGTAGCTTCAATTTAGGTTTATGTGGTCTTTGATTTGGAGAACAAGAGGCGGTCCTTTCTCTTATTGGTCTCATTGTCCATCCATCCATCCATTCTCCACCGCTTATCCGGGGTCGGGTCGCGGAGACAGCAGCCGAAGCAGGGAAACCCAGACTCCGGCTGGGTCCATTTATGTTCTTCATCATAAGGGGTTTTTGGGGGTTTTCCTTTCGTCTGATCCCTCACCTAGGACCTGTTTGCTTTGGGTGACCCTACCGAGGGCTTGAAGCCCTGGACAACATAGCTCCAAGGATCACTGGGACTCTCAAACCCCTCCACCACGATAAGGCGGCAGCCCAGGGAGGGGTGGTTTCATTGTTATATAATGAATTCAGTCTTTTTATTGATATTGTTTATGTTTATGTTGTTTATGTTTATGACTTACAGAGTAGACACAATATTAAATTTCTCATCACTATGACAATAAGCTATCCAGAGGAGAAACACTGATCAGAGTCAGTGGTGAGATAGAGATAGAGGTAGAGGGACTACAGAAGGAGCTTTGGGGGGGTAGAGGTACGGGTTAGGGTTAGGATAGGAGCTGTGGGGGGTAGAGGTACGAGTTAGGGTTAGGATAGGAGATGCTCTTTGAAGAGGGGCGTCTTCAAGAGTTTCTGAAGACAGACAGGGACTCTGCTGTTCTTGTAGCTCGGTAGGTCGTTCCACCATCTTGGAACGACACATGCAAACAGTCTGGATGGTCTTAAGCCTGGTGAAGGCTCTGCTATTTCTAATCGGTTGATTTCTACAGTGATTCTGTACTTCTGAGAGGCGTTTTAGCGTTATTGAATCTTTCCGGTGTGTGTTTCCCCGTGGTGCAGGCAGGCTGCGAGGATGCGCTGTCTGGCGGCCCGGGTGAACTACAAGACGCTGATCGTGATCTGCGCGCTCTTCACGCTCATCACCGTGCTGCTGTGGAACCGCTGCTCCACCGAGGGCGCCCTGCGCTTCCTGCCCCGCGCCGCCCTGGTGGCGCCCAGCCCCAGGATCGGGGACGCCAGCATCAGCAGCCAGCAGCAGCACCCCCCCCAGCCCCCGGAGCCGCCCCCCGTCGTCGGGGGGAACCGAAACGAGGAGATCGACTGCCTCATCAACGACGAGACCACCGTCAAAGGCCGGAGGGAGGGGAACGAGGTCTACCTGCCCTTCAGCTGGGTGGAGAAGTACTTCGAGGTGTACGGAAAAGTGGTGCAGTATGACGGCTACGACCGGTTCGAGTTCCAGCACAGCTACTCCAAGGTTTACGCCCAGCGCGAGCCCTACCACCCCAACGGGGTCTTCATGTCCTTCGAGGGGTACAACGTGGAGGTCCGAGATCGTGTCAAGTGCATCAGCGGAGTGGAGGGTAAGACGTTTTGGTTTATTAAATACCCTAAACATGTGTTCAACTTTTGAAATGGAAAAAAAAACTGTCACTCTATACTAAAACCCACGAAGGTCTCTAAGGTCTACCCTTCCCTCTGTGGGAAGAGAAGACCTTAGAGCTTGGAAAGAATAATTTCCCTCTGGGATTATTAAAGTATTTCTGATTCTGATTCATTGTGCATATATATTTAACCAGATTAACTGCACTGATGTAGCTTATAAGTGACTTGAGTGGTGAATTTGTCAGTTATGTTTTTACGACCCGGTAGGAGGTAGTAATATAAAAGATGCTAAGATGGGAACCTGGAGTTCAACTTGATTTATTGTCAAATAAAATTAAAAACACAGTACACATCCGAGTGGATAGGGGGTAGGACAACTATAAGCCTCACTAATGACACACAATCACTAAAACCCAAAATTAAAGATTCAACGCATCCAAACACCTCTGATAGCCTTTTCCAGGATATCAGAGCTGAACTGAAAGGTCCTGAAACACTGCATCTAGCCTAGTCTTTACTTTGTTCTTTACTGTGCAGATACTTTATATCTAAAGGAAACATACACATCTGTACCATATACACTCTTTTTATATTGTCTTTTGTATTTTTTTTATCTTCAAAGGCATCTTGCTTTAACTCTGTACTCTACATAAGCTACTGACACCAGAATTTCCCTGAAGGAGTAAAGTAAAGTAAAGTTGAGTCTAAGTCTAAGTCTAAGTCTAAGTCTAAAAATCAAAACTAGTCGACTGCACAACATATTTCATTTAAAAGACCCGACAGAACAAGCTGGTACAGAGGAGCCTTTTCAAATCAGAGGCAGAGCGACGATCCTCAACAGGGACCAACTTAAAAAAAAAAAAGAGAGGATAAGTGGCCGTTTTTACCCCAGAGGCCCAGGGCTATAACAGTGTAGGGGCTATAAAATCAGGATTTTATTAGAGCAGAATGACACTGGAATTGCTTTAGGTGAGGGGAGGTGTCACACAGCTGCAGCTGAGTGTTTCAGGTGTTTCCTGCTTTAACAGGAATTTATATTTATATATTTTTTATATACTTGAAGTTAAGACTGATATGCTGACTGGTTTGGTTTGTTTTCGTCCAGCACACCTGGTTGTGTTCTTGTCGCTTTGTAAACCCACATTTTACAAATCGCACAAAATTCAAACTTAGTCATACTTTTACACCTGTCCATCTAATAGAAACACAATAATATGTCAAAAGAGCGACCGTATTGGAACATTTCCTGTCCGTAATGAAACTTTTTACTTCTTTTTGGGATCCTTACATTTGTTTCAGTTGAGCTGAACAAATACACTCTATTATTGATATGTTGCAGTTTGGCTTTGGGAAGCTCAATTTCACACAATTTCGGATGGATGAACATGTTCACATTCATTTGTTAGTTTTGGTCCAGTTTTAGTTTTGGAACTAAAGCACTGATTTGTTCATTTCCTTTAGTTGTGTCAAAACTGGTAGGTATTTTTTTGTCGTTGTGTCTGTTTAGTTCTTGGCCTTTTTTTCTTCAAATGTATAATACAGGAGCGTAACATGCTAAATGAAGCATGCTGGTCCTTCACAGTTTTGTTAACTTTAATTTAGTTTTACAGCCACATTTTTGCTCGGCTGAGTGCTCTGAGAAAAGATGGCATAAACACACCATAAGCTGTCTGCTTTGATGATAAATATAATCGCATTTTATATCTCTAAGTGTTGGGGAAAAACAAAAGTTTACTAACAAGACTATATTGGATGTCAGGTTGTTTTTCTTTTTCTCTCAGGAATAATTACTGTCAAGACATTTGGAAATGTTTCCTTTGGTTTTCTGTGATTTTTTTTTTCCTAGCCGCTGTAAGTATTTTTTCATAGTGACACGCAGGCCTGGATGTGAGTTTGCCTTCGTTTGCACTCATAGTTCCTCCTCAAAGTTGTTTTCTTTTCAAGGTTCCTTTTAAAATAATTGCCCGGAAGGATCAATAGCTCATTTTAAAAGGCTATTAGTTGAAACCAGATGGTCATCAATATTGTTTCGTCGCTCGCATGCTTGAGGAAGTGTCCCAGAAAAACTTGGCTGAAATTGCAAAAGAGGTGATTTTTCTTTTTTTTTCTTTCTTTTTTTTTTTTTTTTGACAGATAGATAAATCCACCAATTAAAGAGGAGACATGCTATCATGCCACGTTTCCTCGCACATTTAACCACGTCAGCCTTATCAGAGGAAAAGACAGCAGGAGATGTAAACAGTTTGCAGTTTTTTGTTTTTTTTGGCTGTCCCTTCTTCTCAAAACACCGAGCTCTCATTTTGACATGGAAACATGATGAACGAGGGTCAGCTCTCTGGCAGATTGTCAGGTGCAGACGTAAGCTTCATGACTAGTGATGGTGCCTCTTTCCATAAAAGCCATTTGCCGGCAGTAAATGGCTTTCCCTTTGCAGAGCGTCCAATTTTCCATCAGCCCCATTTTTATAGACTAAATGAGCAACTTTGATAAATGTTTAAATATTCTTATATTGTACAAAGAGCATTAAATGTATAAATGATAAGTAATATTGTTGTGGAACTGTCTTAATTGGCATCATCTTTATTTATTTAATACTAATATTGATGCTGGTTTGGATCCTTTGTTGCTTCATTGAATTCTGCTGCTAATTTTGTGCATTTCTTTTGACGTGCAGAAGAACATTTTTTAAAGTTAGGCTGGCTAAAGGGGAGAGAACGACTCACTGGTCCGTAAGAAGATTCAGTGGGAGTATCATGAGGGCATTATTTGCTTTGAATAACTAACTCTGTACTCGGCTTTAAGGCTGAGGGTCGACAGTGAACATGGAGGATCTTTGGTGATTATCAGGGTGAATGAGGCACTTCTGGACAATCATTTCTTCCCTCCAGATGTTGACTGGTTTGAGTTTCTCATTTCGGTGATATGTTGACATCATCACCTAGTTACTAAACATCAACCCAAGATATCTACCACCCCCTTCTCAGCCACACTTGCAGCTTTCAACATGAATTGCTTAACTAAAGTGTAGAAAATGGCACCTCAGTTTTTAGGAGGGTTTCTTGTTCTGTTTAAATGGAAACAGTTTGTCCATCTTGTGCCAGTAAAGCTCCGACTCCTCAGGATGTGGCTCTGATACCTACACATTAGCTATAAATCTGTTGATCCCTGTGGGTTTGGGGGTGGCGTCTCAGTGGAATAAGCTTGCTTCCCACAGATCCCATCAAATTGGTGCCTTGAGAGTTTGGAGGCTGGGTGAACACCTCACAGCCTTTGTTTTATTCCTTAAGCCTTTAATAGGTCTTTAGCAATTCCCATGTGGGTGAGGCTGCTACAGGAAGAGTTCTGTTTTTCTTACATGGCGAGCTGTGACCTGTTGGCTAAACTAACTGGATATGGAAAGTGTACAAAGCAAAGGGCACTGGCTTTGTTACAGATCATTTTTACGGGAAAATATTACACAAACCTCACCTCTGTTCAGCATGTCAGTTCTTTTTTAACCAAAGGGGCAGTTTTCTCATTTGTCTGTCTTTGGTAAAGTGGCGGCTAATTGTTGCATGATGGGAATTTTTTGTGCAAGGAAGAGATGAATAGAAATCATCCACGTTTAAAATGAAACAGAGTTCGCAGCTCATCTTTTGAAAATGACTTGTATGATTAATCGCTCGTTTGGAACATTTCCTATTAGTTCTTTGTCTGAATCTTTTAGCTTTGATTCCTCCATAATACTGTTTTACCTAAATTACCTTCCCACACAAAACCCATTTCTTGGCTAAAAAAAATTAAACCACCTTACCTGAGGTCTGCAGCAACAGGGGAGGGAGTTGCACGGTAAAAAATGGGTCATAGAGGAATCTAAGCAAACCTGAGGGCTCAACAGTGATTTCCATCCTCCCATTTCCTCCATGTTCCTCTAAATAGAAATCGAACACACGTCTGCGTCCCCATATACAATTTACCAAGATCTTTTAATTCCACCTCAGGCTCTTTGCTATATTTAACATGCATATGTGCAAGCACACACACCTCTCCTCAGCTTAGCATCTTTTTTTATAGGTGAAAACAGCCGCTCATTAATTAACCCGCCACTGAGCTTAAACAAGGTCATGGGAATATTTCTCTCCCACTGCTTGTCACTGCCCATACAGAGTGTTGGCTAAACAGGGCCCTCAGTAGGACGCATTACCCGTTATGATGGTCTGTCTGCAGCCTCTGACCTGCATGCATTTAGCCTCAGGGACGCCGTTGTCTTGTTTGACACGATCCCGCATCGTAGAGATGTTTGAAGATAAAGTTGTTTTTGTGAGCTGTTTCGTTTTTTGGGCAAAAGAAAAAAAATATATACTGTTTGATCAGCCCAAAAAAACAGCCCATAGTCTGTTTTTTTTAGACAATGTGTCTCAACTCAACTCCAACTTTATGTATAAAGCACATTTAAAACAACCGGGGGTGACCAAAGTGCTGTACAGATATCACAGTTGCAGGAAATAAGGTAAAAACGTAAAAGCTAAAATACATCAACACAATGCAAAAAAATAGAATGGAAATAAAATAGAATAAAATAAGTTAAAATTCAAGAAATGTAAATAAAAACTTTTGCCAGATGTCTGTGCACTTTTCCACTGCAGGTCACTGCTTGCTTCAATAACCTAAACATGGTTCAAAAACGCCTTTTATTGGCTCTTTTGGCTTTTTGAAATGCACTTGCTCTGTTACTGATAGCATAAATGAGTGCACATGACTCACTAAATAAGATGGATTCCATGCTTTCTTTTTTTAAACACTTTGGAAATGATTGAGTTCCCATAAGAATTCAGCTAAATTGGCTAATGTCCCTTCCTGTTAAATCTGTGTCTGTTTACATCAGGTTTCTGAGTCAGTGGGAGTTTGTCAAATGTTACATTTCCGTTTTCTGTGACTGCTAAAACTGAAGTATCAAAAAGAGGGAATATCCACCCCAGTGGAGCCCAGTGTTTGGATTTTAAAGCTGCTCAAAAATGCCCTAGTAACCCCAGTGTCTCCTGCAGCACATTCTTCTTTCCTTTAAGGTAAACACTCGCAAATCTGGCCAGTAGTTTAGCCAGAAATCATCCGCACTTTCTTTGAAGTTTGAAAGACATGCTCAGGATGTGGCTGTGCAAATTATTTTTACATTATTTGAGCAGTTGTGCTGAGAAATAAAAAAATAAAAGGCAGTCTGTGGTATCTCAATACAACAATAGACACTCCCATAGGATGCCTGAGGCAAACATTACTATAGATCATATATATATATATATATATATATACACACACACATATACACACACATGTTAAAAAGTTTACTTTCTAAAGTCATGGAAATAAGTGGAGACTTTGCATTCAGTTCCTCGTGGATTTCTTGGCATTGTGAGTCTCAGTCTTTTGGAGATTTTGACAAAGCTGACTGAAGTTGTCAGAAGATATGGCGGTAACGAGACAGACGGGGAGAAAGCGTGGCAGGGAAATGGAGTACGTGCGTTCCTGTTTGTGCCATTTTTTTTTTAGCAAGCTACACAAATGAGCATGTACCCGCTCAGGTTTGTGACAACTCCACTACATAAATTAAAGAAAAAAGGCGTAAATACAGCTTTCAGATGTACGAGATGAAATATTAATAAGGTGCTCAAATAGGAGGAACTCAATGAACGATGAGCTCACACTCTGTTTGAGAAAACTATACTGTGAGAGAGAATCAGGTCTAAAATCCATGAAGGGGCAGAAAGGCACCACCTCAGAGCCACCAGAGCACTAAAAGTGGAAAATCAGTCCAAGTACAATGACCGGATGTGATTGAGAGTAAATCCAAGTGGAAACACGGCCGTGAGCCGACAATTGTGCCGAGCATTGCGCTGAAAAGCCCCTCACGCTAATGCACCATTTTATATTCCATAAAATTTAAGCTCGAACCGGCTTTGGTGGAGATTTAGTGTAAAAAATATGGCTGAAGTGGAGCACCTGGATTCTCCGGCATGTCATTGAACGCCTCTGTCTGTGCTAATGAACGGGTCATCGGCGAGGCATCGTGGTCATTATCTCTGACACAGCCTTTTGTTTTCATGCTTTTGCAAATGGTGGATGTAAAGGGGCCAAAACACGTCATGTTTTATTCATCTGACGAAATCTTTCATTAAAAGTTAGCAAAATGTATTGATAAAAAATACAAAAAGCTCTATCAGTATGTGTCACAGTTACTCATTTATTAAACGGCTCATGGATATATCATTCAGTGTCATTTTAACAACCGTTTCATTTAGTTTTAATATCCTCTGTAAAGTGTGTTTTATGTGCAAAATGTGGTATAAATGCAATATAAAGTTATCAGACAAGCAATCAGTCATTCTGTGGTGTGGAAATAGGGAAAATTTCTCCCTTTCATTTGTCTTTTAGGTTCTAGAATGAAAGATGGAGATCCCTCCCATGTTTTTTAATTTTTTGACAGCGGGCTCCAGGCAGTTGGACCTCCAAACTCAACCTCTATTTAAATTCAAAGAGGGTGACCCTCCTTTCTCAATATATCATAAACAAAGGCCAAACTAACAAGCAATCAACAGCAAACCGCATGTTTTAAAAAAAGAAATATCATTAAAAAGAGAGAGAAAACGTGGCAAATGGCACAAAAATCAATTCAGCCGATCAGTCATCATCAGTTTCAAATGAAATAGAACCTCATAAGCCCTAATCAGGATACAATGATTTCTCCCAAAAGAGGTTTGGATGGTGCCTTACCCTCCCTGTCGTGAGGCTTTTAAAGTCTGCTATCTGTTAATCAGTAATTCTCCACCTGAGCTATTTCTGGATCGCTCGCCTGCAGAGAAATTCAGCAGATAAGTTGAACTTTCTCCATTTCCAACCCTTTTTTCATTGCTGTGTTAACAAATGAGAGCCTGTATTTCTATAGTCAGCCTCACGCTCTCAATGGGATTTTTTAGACATTTCTTTTTTGGGTTTAGTAGTACAAATTAGTTTTTTTTTAAAGGCATTAGTAAGAACCCAGAACACGGCAAAGCCTGAAGAAATGTTTGGAGTTTCTTCCACGTTAAGATAATTTGTCATGTTAACTCATTGACTGCCAGCCATTTTCAGAACAGAGAGTCCCATACTGCCAGAGTTTTTTGAGCATTTTGACTGATTTTTCCAGAGCCACAGAATAGTTTGTGCTATGACTATGTAAACACTGAACACACCAAAAGAAAGAGTAGACTCTCTTCTTTCATCAGGAAAAAGAAAATTGTTTCTACTTTATTCCGTTCTTCCTTGACGTGCGTCTCAACGGCGACATGTTCTCTCATATCGAACCGTTACCTTTTTCTTATTTGCCTACAATCTGTGCTAATCTCCCATCAAAAGTGGCACTGCCACCTAGAGGGTCAATTTGTTACTACATACTCTGTCTAGAAGCCTGATATTTACGGACAAGCTTTAGCAGATCGTCCCCCAAGCCACTCTCCTTGAAAAACATACAAGACGTCTATAGACGTCTTTGGCAGTTAACGGTTGTATTTGAATTAACGTCTATAGACGTCTTTAGCAGCCAATCAGTTAATTTAACCTTTTGTTTCTTCTTCCCTTCTGTGCTCCCAGGGGTGCCTCTGTCCACTCAGTGGGGCCCTCAGGGCTACTTCTACGCCATCCAGATCGCCCAGTACGGTTTGAGCCACTACAGCAAGAACCTGACGGAGCGCCCCCCCCACGTGGAGGTCTACGACACGGCGGAGGAGCGCGGCGGCCCCGCGCCCTGGACCGTGCCCAAAGGCTGCAGCCTCAGCCGAGTCTACGACAAGAGCAGATCTACCTCCGTGCGCCAGTTCAGCGCTGCAGGTACGAACGTCCCCGCTCGCCCGTACGGCCTCGGGGCAGGCCGCTTATCTCCCGTTAGCGGGCTTAGCGGGGCCTCAGCCTCAGGGCAGGAGGACGCTCTGCAGTTAGTCTCTACCACAGAGAAACGGGCAGTGGACGACATTAGCAAACCACAAAATAACGTTTTTAAATACGACTATTATTGTGATTACTGGAAGACTCAGAATGACACGTTTTTTCTTGTTTTGTCCAGTTGACTTTGGGAAAAATCCAGCCGACAAATATCAAAGCAGTCAGCGTTTTTCAGCATGAAAGGTTCAAATAAAGCGTGCATGGTCGAACGGTCATTTCGAACTTTAGTGTCAAACTTTAGGATATACGATTATGTTGACAGAAATTCATTTCCATAGATGTGTTACCGAATAATACACAAACCGGCAGACAAACAGGACAAAGTTAAGGTGTAGTAGACTCTTCGGAGGTTGAATCAGTTGGTTGGAGTGTTGATTTGGTTTGACAGCTTAGCTGATGAGAGCACATCCAGCATTGGCTGGAAACACACAGGTAACGGCCAGTGGACAACATGGACAGAAACCCACAGCCAAGGAGGTCAACATCTGGGGAGGAGAGCTTTGCTCTCAATGAAAATAAACCGTCTTTCTTACAGTCCTGATGAAACCTCATCGGGGTGTTACAACATCAATTATTTAATCTGCCAGTAATCTCACATTTCCCATGATGATCAAGAAGAAATTTGTTTAACTCCCCTCTCATTTTTCTGCATTCCGTTGCTAGATATCTCCTTTTTAAGTCATCTTGATTTCTTTGGCTTTGGAAATCTCCGTCTGTTGCTCCAACAGGTCCACAGCCTTTCAGTTGTCATGGTTTGGTTTCATAACAGGATCCCCCGGTGGTTTGTCTAAAACCCTTTTCAGCCACAGATAATGCCACGTTTTAGTCAGAGTACTAATGAATGCATGTTCATGGTATCACGCTGTGACCAGATGTGACCAAAAGCTTGTTGGACCTTTCATGGTCAACAACAAGTTCCATGGATTTTTACCCAGATTAACCATTTAAGCATATCATGCTAATCACATTTCTATCCTAAGCAGATCAATCCGATAGCTCTGGGTCGAGAAACATCGGCTCGAGATGTAATCACATTTTAACGTTTTTTAGAAATGACTGATCATTGATTTGCCAGATGTTTAACGATAAAGGAGCCCTGCAGGTTTCCTTTAGTCATTCATTTTGAAGCGCATGGCAAAAGCAAACTATTCGGTCTGTTCCACGAGAATTAATCAAATCTGAAGGTTTCTGATGAGACGGGCCCAGATCTGCTGAAAAGGTCACTGAAAACCATCCTTTGTTTGCTGCCGAGGAAACTGGCGAGATCCTTATTTATGAAGCACTGCAAAGGCTCCTTTCAAAGGAGGCACCTGCAGAAAAAAACACTAGAATACTTTATTAATCCCTGAAGGGGGAACTAAGGTCCTGTAGTTTTATTAAAGAAAAATCTCCTTATTTTAAACAATACATATGTGTGTGCCTTACATATACATACATATATATATATATATACACACACATTGTGCTTTTCAGTGCAAAGGATGAGTCCTCTCTCCTGCATGTAAAAGAAAAAAGCCTCCAAATGAATACACGTTGTTGTTTATTTTGTGTTTGTCGTTATAGCAGCACGTTAAAGGCAAGGCGTTCAGTGGTCCAGAGAAATCAAATTTACAAAGCCCGCTCTCACACTTAAGCCAGGCGCTGGTGCGTGGAAACATGCGATTAGTGGCTCGTTTTGGTGAACCACAACCACACGTGTGCTGGTTATACTCCTCCACCACTCAGTTCTATCAGCTCCAGTACATCCATCAGTTTGTTTTGTGTCCGCGTTTAGATGTCGGCCCACCCTGACCCCCCCGTTTTCTTAAATCTGCCACAGCTCATCGACTTATGCGCGTGCTTTGAAAGCGCCATGTCGTACCCGTTATGTCAATCATTTGACAATTTTCTTATGAAAAGGCGCTTTGGTCAAAATAGCTGCTGGTTCATGAACAGTGTGGTTTGGCTCTCCCCAGTTTCATCCCATATTTAGAGGGTTTTAGCTGTTTTGACATAGAATGTGATGTGGAGACCAGCCACTCTCTCTCAACAATATACTGATAAACAACAGTTTTCTTCTTGAATGATCAAGGCTCTAAAAATCTCAAAAATGATTTTGTTAAATCTATGATAAATGTGTTAGTGACACAAGAAAACTGAGAAAAGAAAGATCTTCTGAAAACAGCAAGGTTCAAGCAGGGTGCATTTATTTAGCCATTATTAGGAGTAAACGCTTAACTGTAGCTAGACGAGCTGGGGGTTGATTACGCATGTAAAATTACAACTTAAACTTGTATAATTCAAATCAGCTTCTGATCAATTCAATAATACGCAAAGCTATTTGTTTTTTTACTTGGGTTTTTATTAAATGCGTTCAACGATTAAAAGCTAACAGCAATAACTCCTTAAATGTTTGGTGTTCACCATCAGAATGACTCCAGCTGTTAGCTTTAGCCACACCTAAAAGAAAAACATAAATCCATAAGGAAACATCAAAATAATTTCTCTAGTACTTGAACTTCCTCACCTGATTGTCAGGTGAGTTTCTTTTGTCTCTTTGAACTAGTAAAGCCTACAAACAGCGCCTGCTGCACACAGTGCTGAGCAAACTGGAACATTTCCCTTTAGTATTTTTTTTTTTTCCGCTGGGTTTTGCTAATTTACACACTTGGTGGTGTACTAAAAATGCTTCAGAGGTCCACTTCTTTTTGAAATCTACTCCTGGAATAATAATGGCTCACTAGAGTGAGTGCATGTGGCTCTTTTTTGTGTGTGTGTTTTTTTGTTGTGCATGATCTAAGTGATTTATAAATAACGTGTTATAGAGGCAGTATTAAATGTGAGATGTTGTCACTTCTGGCCTCCGTTTGACACCTCACTACTGCGCCACTGCATTCGGTCTCAGTTCTGCAAAGTATCTTTTGTTTGTTGATCATATTCTTTGGTAAATTTGCGCATAAGCCGTAACGAGTTTGTTTTAATGAATCCAAACTGTGGGAAGCGGCGGCTAGAAATGGGCTCGCTGTACATTAAAGTAAGAACTGTGAGAATTATTCACGTGTTTACGGCTGTGCGCTTCCACACAAAAGCAGCCGTAATGGCTCTCCAGAAAACAGGGAGCCTCGTCACTCGTGATAAAACTGAGTGAACGGCTCTGTCCTTGGTGGCATCTCGGAACATTTCAACCCTGAGGAATCTAATTTAATTCCGCTCCTTCTCTTTGTGTCCGAGGCTGGCTGCGCCGGCCTCCGTCCGACTTGTTTTCATTTATTGCTCGCAGCTTTTTCCTCCCTTGTGCATCTAAAAATGTATCTGGAAAGCCGGAAACTCTGTTCCCTTCTTCTGTTGTCCTGCAAACAGCACACACAGTATAATGTGTGGCGAAAAGGATGCTGAGGGACTCAATTGAATTTTGAATAATAAACATGTTAAATTCAATTTAAGGATGAATCTATATCTCGTAAAGTTATTTATGTTCATCTGAAAGAGCTCATAAGTTGCTGCGGGGAGAACAGTGGCTTAATGATACGGTTCAGTCACCTCATAGATGAGCCATTTGGAATATCTGCACCAAAGAAAGTGCATCTCTTTTTGACTCCTCTATTTCGTCACGTCCTCTGGAGCTGTAACAGAAAAGATGTCGGGCAAAGGAAACGGAGCAATAAAAATGTCTTTTGTGAAAGTTACAAGAAGTAAACTCACAGAGAAAACCCTCGAAATGAAATCATTGATTTGCGTTCTTTGTTTTTTTTAGCTGTGTGCGAAGAAATCATACAGCGTTTTGACCCAAAAGCTCTTTCTGAGAATAAAAAGTAAATGGCACCGTCCTTACTGTTTACACGTAAAAAAAACTATATATTTTTAATGTTGCTATCTAAAAATCTGAAACTAAATAACATTTTTTTTTTATTGGAGATAAAACTGCAGGTGGAAACTTCTGTTCTTAACAGCGACCTTTTATTCTGTTCTGTTCCCCTTTTTTTGGTGTAATATTTAACTGAGTAACTGTCCTACATTAGTTTCCGACAGCTCATTGGTCACCCCTCATTGGCCGTTTCCCTGTAATGAGACAGCTGTCAGCACAGATGCCGGACTCCCGTTAAAAGCCATAAAACTTTCTGATAAATAGCATTTATTAATGCCTAAATAACCGCCTGATTTCCCATCATTTACCCGGGGCTTCAGTAACACGAAGCGTCCTCCGTTACGGTGTCATGATAATCAATAGTCTGGCATTAGATGTCTCTGAGAGGATCCTAATGTCTATAAATAAGAGCTGACTTTTCACCACAACAGAATATGGAGAATCAAGCCCGGTTTTGCAGCTGTAACATGACCAAAGCCATGCGGTGGTTATTTTTGGTTCCAAGTCGAAATCTTTCAGTCTTTTCAGTCTTTCCTCTGCTCTGATCCCCTGCTGATATCTCCAGAACACACTCTTTGTTTGCCTCGTGTGGAGTTTGCCGCTGTAATTTTCCCTTCCTTTATATTCGTCAGCTTCCGCCCTCTAATCACCAGTTTCTTTTTTACCGCTTTATTCTCTATTCTTCCTCCCCGGCTTGCCTCACAGGTCAACCAGCCATCACCGCGCTCTCTTCCTGTTTCCATCCGTCCTCAGACTTCGTTCACCATTAATCTTTCCCCGTCTACCCCAGATTTCTGTCCGTCCTCCGCCGCCGTTTACTCATTTTCGCCCGCTTATCGCCCCTCAGCTCTCCGGTTGCCTCCTCAACATTGCCGTCATATTTGTCTGATCCACCCTAATGCTTTATTCTGCTCCCTCATCAAACTTTTTTCTCATTTTCCTCCTCCGCTGACAGCTTCTCTTTCCGTCCTTCCACCGTTTTTTTTTTTGTCTCATTTCCCCCCTCCTCCTCCTTACAGTATCTAGGGCACGGGTGTTGAGCAATCTCTCAAAGCGTCTGACAAGTGGATCAATTGTCTGCCCCCCTGATAATAACCTGCCATCTCCCGTCCACACATTCCTGCACGAACGCGCTCTGCCACCGAGCGCCTTTGTTTGCTCAGTCCTCCTTTTCCTCGGTTGATACTCCAAATGCATTTCGGAGCCACCGTTCACACACAATAGCGGAAAAATAGCTTTTACCCTCCCCTGTGGATGCGGCCTGGGTGTCCATGCTCTTCCACTCATCGCTCAAATGTTGAAAATCAGCGTTAGTGAATGTAGCTGCAAGCCAATAGATCAGGAGTATGGCTCCTTCGTGGTGGACTGGGTCACATTCGGACACACAGTGGGGGAAATAAGTATTTGACCCCTTGCTGATTTTGCAGGTTTGCCCACTTACAAAGAATGCTTCTTTTTCCTCATCAGATGGTTATCAATTTTTTATAAATTCTTATGATGTGATTTTCTGGAATTTTCTTTGGGATTCTGTCTTTCACTGTTAGAATGTACATATGATTAAAGTTATAGATCGTTGCATTCTTTGTAAGTGAGCAAACCGGCAAAATCAGCAAGGGGGTCAAATACTTATTTCCCCCACTGTAACTGTTCGTATAACATCAACAGGAAAGTCGCAGGAACTGAGCTAGTCTTTGTTTTTCTGAGCCATCCGGAGACGCCACAAGCTCCGTTAAAGTGCCGTCTGAGTCCGTTTTTGCCAACCTGAGCCATGTTTGTTCATTGTTAGTTTTAAAATGTTCAACAATACTGCACATATTGGAGTTTAGCATAAGCAGGAAGTTGGAGATCACATTAAAAGTGGCTTTTTGGGAACAGAGCATGCTAAAAGTGCTCTCAAACAGTCGGAAGCTCATCCAAACACGCCCTAAAACGTGGGACGAGGATCCTCTTGAATCCTGATGCGTTTCGCTTCCAGAGTGGAGACAAACCAGCCAACCAGGAACTGATTTACCTCGATCTCCACACAGACAACATCTGGATATATCTCAGCCTCAGCTGCTCATTCAGAGCAGCGTTTTCTGAAAAGTCCTTCTGAACACCAAAGGAAAAAAGGAGCAGAAAACCCACACGGACTTAATTTGGTTCCATTATTTGTTTTGGTTTTGTTTTGTTTTGTTTTCGTTGTTGTGTAAAAGACAGATTTCCCTTCTCAGTCTGAGCCAATCAGCTTGATGTTGTCCAGGAAGTCCGCTCTGCTTTCAAAGTGCAGTGTGAGATCAATCCAAACCGAACCAGAGACCCTTAAATGATTTTTCAAAGGAGGAAGTTTAGTTTTTTTGTTGTTGTTTTTGATAATGTCTCTTGGTGATTAACCTTGTTTGTGTTTTGGTTCAGAGTTGGTTTCCCTGCTTTGACTGATTTCTTACATCATAATTGTTGCAAATCATGCTTTGAACAAATAATTCCTCTCTCTGTTTTCCATCAATATGATTAAACTGTTAATTAGGAGGAAAATATTTATTAAAATCCTCATCAGTGCTGATTTAGTAAGACATTATTCACTATCCAAAAGTTTGTTTTTCTTCTTAAAAAAAGCTTAGTTTTAATTTGGTTTGTCTGTGAATAATGGATCAAACAGCTACTAAGTAATGATATTTAGTATTTATTCACTTTTTAAGACAAAATCACCCTTAAGAAAACCATTTCAGCCTCCAAAGTCTGTTTTGATTTGATATTCTTGTGATAACGTGATATAATTAAACAGGCTTTCCTTTTAATTCATTTCTAAAATACCATATTTGATAGACAAGAATATGAATTCTTGAACAGCGCGGATGATAATTTAAGTCAAATCAAACTGCTCTTATAGGGTGAGGGCTGAGGCGAGCCGTGCACGGTTTCGAGCCGTGCACGTGTGTGGTCACATGTCACATGTTATGGCCGCCTGCTGGCAGCAGGTACCAGATGTTCCCACGTTTCCGGGCGTTTATCTCTCACCCCCTGGCGCCCGCTCATGCGTGTGAGCGCGGCTGATGCCGACATATTTCCCGCCTCCGTCTCCAGTCTGACGGCTGAAGAGCAGAGAAGAGCGGAGCGGAGCAGTGGAGGTGGAAATCTCCTCTGTATTCCCTGCCCATCCTTTATTGATGGCAGAGTAATCACAGGGCCAGAGTACAAATCCACTTACTCTCCGCATTGCCTTAAGTAATGGATTTATGAGTGCATTAAAGAGCCGTGCTCGTCCAGAGGCCCCTGCCAGACTGTCTCCCTGCTCATTCTCCCCCTGATCGACTGTCTTTGTTTCGGCCTCATCTGCCTCCTCAGCCACGGGAGATCTCTCCCCGTCTCCCCATTCTCAATTGTCTGCTCGCCGTTGGCTCATTTTCGCCGTTTCCAATCTCGAGCCGGCTCTGAGCACATTTGTGAAGCCCCGTCATTCCATTACCCTTCAGCTCCTTCCGCCTTTCATCTTTTTTTATCCTTCGGGGAGCCCCGATTCATTTTTTTTTTTGCCTTGAAGACCAAGGAACCGGGCCACGGGAGAGCTGAGTGTAGAAGCCGTCGGCGCTTAAGGGGCCCGGGATGATGTCAGAACGGCCGTTTTAACTGGCTGGATTCAGCCAAAGCAGCGTTTGAGGATCAGCGGAAGCTCTGAAGCTGACGTTTTCCGCCTTTGAGCTTTGAAGACGTGAATAAAAAATAAGGAAGTCGCTGCAGAGCCTCGGTTTTTCTTCCTCCCCTTTCCTCCCGCCTGTCCTCTTAATTAAGCTGTAACACATCTGTACCGCACCTCTTATGAGGATCCCGACTGCACATCTGCCCTAACCCCGTCACAAAACACAGCACGGCACCTCACAGAGCCAATCACAATCCGAGACCCCTGGCGGTTAAACGGGAACAGATTGTATCTCAGATTGTCTGCTTTTATTGATCATTTGAGGGGTGTGAGATGGTTTGAAAGAAGAAGAAAGAGGCAAGCTGTCATGATCAAACCCGCTGAGGGAGAAACAGGAAGAAAAGCTCTCCGCTCAGTCTGCTAAAAATATTTTTTTGGGTGCGTTCAGGTAACTGTCAGCAACTCTGAGACTCTTTCCTGGCCCAAAGCGCTTGAAAGAGATAACCCAGAATTCTCCATTTTCCAGCCGTTTCGGCTCATTTCACAGATCTTTAACATCTTCCTCACCCATGTGTCTATCTCTCCCTCACACAGAGTCATCAGAGGGTGTTTCCCTCCCGCTGGGCAACTCCAAAGACTTCATCCTCAGCCTGGACATCAAGTTCGTGTCCAACGGCAGCGTGTCGGTCGTCCTGGAGACCACGGAGAAGGGCGCCCCCTTCACCATCCACTACGTGACCAGCACGCAGCTCATCGCCTTCAGGGAGCGAGACGTGACCTACGGGGTGGGGCCGCGGGGCGCCTGGAGCACGCTGACCCGGGACCTCCTCACCGACCTGAGGAAGGGAGTCGGCCTGTCCAACACCAAGGCGGTCAAAGCCACGAAGGTTTGTGAACCGGCCCAAAAAAATAAAGATTTAACTGCTAGCAAGCAGCAGAAGCAGTTTAAGCTTTAACCCTTTAAAGCCCAATCCAAGAAAAATAGGAAGAATATTGTTTTTTTTTTTGTCTGAAGTCTGTCTTTGGCCCCTTCAACAACATATGAAGTAAAAATACTGAAATTATTTTGATCAAATTAGCATGCAATAAGTCAAAAATGTATTTTGGTGTAGTCTTCTACTGGCTGTTATCAGGTATATCTGAATGTGTACAACAGGGGTTTGAGCAAAGCTTTTACCACTGAATGATGCAAAAATTCTCAGATCCAAAAGACTTCAGAAACCGTATGTATCAAATATGATACATTTGGCATTATAGGGTTAAGTAGTTTACAGTGAGAAAACTAGAATGGAGAGGACAAAAGTGACCGCTAAATACTCAAATCCAAGTAGAATCCATAAGATCAGGCTCTCTTTCACCAGTTAAGGGGCCTGTTAACTCAGAAGTTCAAATTAGAGTTGTTCGGAAATTGTTCCTGTTGGTTCAAATCTAAAGCACGGACTCCTTTTGTTTTCTCACCCTAAAAGTTTAAATAGAAGTGAACTGGACTTGTTTTTCTTTTGATTCTTGAGAAGAAACTATACCCCCCAAGAAGTCACTTGGAAAACTCCTGGGTGAAGGAACAGTATCTTAGCTTTTAATCTTAATTTTTGTCTCTAAAAGTATTCAAATTGTTTGCTTTTTCTGCTGAAACGCGTCTGCTCTGCTACTTCAGGGTCAGAGGCAACACAAGTTTATCGTTCAGAGCGGAAATAAATCGGATGGGTAGAGAATTTTCTTACGTTATTGAGGATTTATATGTTTTGTATTTGATAGACTTTTAAGACATAAGAATCAAGTAAAAGAGTAGATGAAAAACAAGTAATGTTGTCTGATCTTTAGTTTTAAAGGCCTTATTTTGCTTCATTTGATCTGAGAATAGATTATTATTAGTGATCTGTTTGATGCAGTCATTCTTAACTCATTGGCTGCCAAAGACGTCTATAGACGTCTTTTATGTTTTTCAAATAGAGTGGCTGGGGGACGATCTGCTAAAGCTTGTCCGTAAATATCAGGCTTCTAGACAGAGTATGTACTAACAAATTGACCCTCTAGGTGGCAGTGCCACTTTTGATGGGAGTCAATGAGTTTACATTGAATTTTAGACATTTCCTGTGTCTTCTTCTCAGACGAGATCATTGATGCTTTTCTTACGTTATTGAGGATTTATACAGTGGGGGAAATAAGTATTTGACCCCTTGCTGATTTTAAAGGTTTGCCCACTTACAAAGAATGCTTATTTTTCCTCATCAGATGGTTATCAATTTTTATAATTTCATATAATGTGATTTTCTGGAATTTTCTTTGGGTTTCTGTTTTTCACTGTTAGAATGTACATATGATTAAAGTTATAGATCGTGGGCAAGTGGGCAAACCTGCAAAATCAGCAAGGGGTCAAATACTTATTTCCCCCACTGTATGTGTTTTGTGTTTGATAGACTTTAAAGACATAAGAATCAAGTAAAAGAGTAGATGAAAAACAAGTAATGTTGTCTGATATTCAGTTTTAAAGGCCTTATTTTGGTTCATTTTACCTGAGAATAGATTATTATTAGTGATCTGTTTGATGCATTCCATCTTAACATCGAATTTTAGAAATTTAGCCCGAGTATAGATCCGGAATCACAAACTGACGGCTGGACTCTGTGTGCTCAGATCATGCCCCGGCGGGTGGTGCGCCTGGTGCTCCGCGGGCGCGGTTTCCTGGACAACGTGACGGTCTCCACCACCGCGCACATGGCCGCCTTCTTCGCCGCCAGCGACTGGCTGCTGCGCAACCAGGACGAGCGCGGGGGCTGGCCCATCATGGTCACCCGCAAGCTGGGCGAGGGCTTCCGGCCCCTGGAGCCCGGCTGGTACTCGGCCATGGCCCAGGGCCAGGCCATGTCCACCCTGGTGCGGGCCTACCTGCTCACCAAGAACCAGGCCTACCTGGGCGCCGCGCTGAAGGCGGTGGGGCCCTTCAAGGTGCCCTCGGCCCAGCACGGGGTCAAGGCCGTGTTCATGAACAGGTACGAGACCCGGTTCTACCAAGGACCCGGTTCCACTTTTTTTAAAACCCGAAAATCAATATCGATACCTTATCGATACCACTATCGAGTCTGGTCGTTTTTGGTCGTAATTGTGAAATCCGTGTTGTAATTGGCAGCATACAAGCTAGTTATCTTGAAAAGTAAATAAAGTTTCAGACGTGCTGCGTGATGATGTGTTCAGAGGCCGTGTTCATGAACAGGTACGACTAGGGGTGGGGATCGAAACCCGGTTCTATCAATGACCCGGTTCCACTTTTCATCAATAACGTTTGGGCTTATCAATACCACTATCGAGTGTGGTCGTTTTTTTTTATATTATTACAATAGAAACATGAGTAATACAGTTGTATATTGCTCTAATAATTTTAGAATATATAATTAAACTACTGATGCCAACATTTATTAAAAATTACATTTAATTTAAAATACAAATATTTATTTGCTAAATATTGTTGCGTCGTCTTTCCACCAAATAACAGAAAAGTATCGATAGTGGTATCGATAAAGACTCGGATCGATAAGGAGTATCGATAAAGGTATCGATATCAATTAGGGTTGTCAAAAGTATCGATGCTTAAAAAAGTATCGATACTAAAATGTTGTATCCGGATACGATACTCTTTTTCAAAAGTATCGATACCACCGCGCGAGCCCCTTCTCTTTGATTAATTTATGTATTTATTTACGTTGTTTATGATCATTAACAAGACGTTAGCCTTGAACTGCTATCTGCGGCTAATGGCTAATAACAACACGCCAACAGTAATCAAGTACATATCAAACTCCGCCCACATCCAATCTGCCATTTTGATTAGGTCACCAAAAGGAAGATCCCAGGCAAGAAAATCCTAATTGCTTCATGGCAATATAGACAATAATTTAAAAATAGTTAAATTAATCTTTCAAACACTGAATTAAACTCTATCCATAGCATGATGTTAAAATAGTGGATGTTAAATAGTTTTGTACAATAAGTCCAAACAAGTTTCACCCAAAAAATATTTATTTCTCACAATTATGAAGGCTGTAGGGTTAGGGTTAGGGTTAGGGTCATTAATGCGGACCACCATAACATCAGTAACAGGTCAGTTTGAAATGAAAGACACTAACCTGTCAAAATTCAGTTAAATTTTGGGGTCTTTGTTTTATCCTTGTGGTATCGAAAATGGTATCGAGCATCGAGTATTTTCCTGAGTATCGGTATCGAGTTGAAAATGTTAGTATTAGGGATGGGACGGTTTCTGAAAACCGTCCGAACCGTTCGGTAGCCGATAAAAATCCAACGCGTCTGCTGTATGGGACACTTTGCATTTAGAGATAAGCACATATTGGAATTAGCACTGTTTCCTCTCTTTCAATGCCAGAATCTCACCTACTTTTAACCTAAGACTGTCACAATAACGTATCAAATGTCAGCCTGCTTTTTTCTTTCAGTTTTAACCTGACTATACAAGACATAATAGATTTTCCTAACAATCAACGTATACCCAATCGAACCGAAAACCGTGACCGCGAAACCGTGAATCGAACCGAACCGTGGATTTTGTGAACCGTGAACCTAGTGACAACCCTAATATCAATAAATATTGACGATCCCCGTCCCCTAGGTACGACTGGTACGAGGAGTACCCCACCACGCCCAGCTCCTTCGTGCTGAACGGCTTCATCTACTCGCTGCTGGGGCTGTACGACCTGGCGGAGACGGGCGGGGAGGCTCTGGGCCGCGAGGCGGCGCAGCTCTTCGCCCGCGGCATGGAGTCCCTGAAGGCCATGCTGCCGCTCTACGACACGGGCTCCGGCAGCATCTACGACCTGCGGCACTTCGTGCTGGGCTCCGCCCCCAACCTGGCGCGCTGGGACTACCACACCACGCACATCAACCAGCTGCAGCTGCTGGCCTCCATCGACGGCGCGCCCGTCTTCAGGGACGCCGTCAGGCGCTGGAAGAACTACCTGAAGGGGATCCGGGCCAAGCACAACTAGCCGGGAGGGCCAGGTTGGAGGTTTAACGCCCGCCTAGAGACCAGGATCCAGGGCATCCTGAGCCGAGGAGGGGATTCCGGCGCCGGATTTCCGGCTTTCCGGGCCCCAATGTTCCGGTTTTCCGGCTTTTCCGGGCGCTTCCCGCCTCCAGTGGGACGTTCACAACCTGAGGGGACGAGTCCGGTGGGCTGCAGCTCTCGACACTAAACTTTTCCAGATCCTTTTCTGCAACGGCTGTAGCTCTTCTTCGTCTTCTTTTTCTTTCGTTTTTGTCCGTTACCACGGAGACGGCGTTTGTAATCACACACAGGTCTAGTTTTCATTCAGGAAGAATGAGTTTTTCCTTTACGTAGAAAAAAGACAAAAACACGATGCTGGAGAGAGGGGGGGAACTCCCCGAACACGGTTCTGCTGTTCTTTAATTCTTTCATCTCACTTTTCTTCTACGTTTCCGCTCCATTTCATCTCAGAGTTGCAAAGTTTATAAAAAAACAAACTGTGAATGGAAAGAATGTTGCCAAAAAATGTCAGTGGAATCAAAGTAGGATGTATATGATTTTTGTTTCTCCACATGCTTATTTTCTCAGTTTGAACCCCTTAAATAACAGTGATGACTAATAATTACTGTAGGGAGATTATGTTATTAATTAAAGGAGCTTACCCCGTTTTTTTTTTTCTCCTTTTAATTTATAAATGAAGGCGTGGATTAGATGTGTATTAAACCGAAAGCAGCTCGGAGGAATAAAACGCTCGGACTGGAGCCTTCCCGTGGCAAACGCAGAGATAAACCCATCAGACGTTAAACCCTAATTAACCATTCATCCTCGTTATTTGTGGGTGTTGACGCTAATGAGACGCCGGTATCGGCCCGTCACACTTTGCCACAAACACCAACCTGTGGGAAAACTAAGTCGGTTTAAGTCGGAGACGACGAAGAAAAAACTCTCTCTGGATTAATGGTTCCTCTTCCATGACTCAGGAAGGCCGAGAAACGCTCGCTCATCTCCTGACGCACGGTGGAAATGCACCGTTTGGGCTTCTGTTAAATCTTCCTAATGGACCCTCTTAAGTGATCGAAAACCCCCAAACCACCTCCTGATTCATCAGAATCGGGCCGAAATCGTTCTTCTTCTCCTTCCAGCCAGTAGTCGTCGTCCACTCTTCCTCCAGCCCTTCCTCTCTTCCTCCTTCTGTGGGGGGCTTTTCTGAACCGCCCCCCCCCCCTCTGCAATCAGGCCTGGAAACCATAATTACCGGATACTGGTGTAGGTGGTTAGCTTAGCTAGCCTGTCACTCCCTCAGTATTGGAGCAAACCATGCCAGAGGCTG